TATATATATATATATATATATATATATATATATATATTATACAAAAATAAATGAATAAAACAATGGAGTCTTAATACATTTTAAGTGACCTTATCAATATTGCACTTTTTTTATGAAGAAATTAATGGCCTGCATATAATATATATGGTATTTATGCATAATAATTTCCATATTCAGTTCCTGTCTAAATCTCTTTTAGTGCTGTCATCCTTCACAATTTCTATTCTTTTTTTCTTTTCTTTTTTTACCCACAAACCCGTTTTCCTGTCTGTTCTTTTGTAAGATGCCGTCACAGTCATGTGATCACATCCCAGCGTATTCAGTAGAAACCGGGATTTTATTTTACGCTCTGTATATTTTGGGTATGTCTTGTTGAGAGTGATAATGACTAGTTAGCTCAGTTACAGCCAAAAGAGAGACTTGCACGTTCTCCTAAAAGAAAGTGCATGTACAAGTTCAGTTCTGTTCATCATTATGAACCTTCATGTTGTTCCAAACCAGGACAAAAGGAGATATTTTGAAGAATGTTCATGCTGCTCTTTTCCATATAATAAAAGCAGATCTGTGACCACAAGCTGTCAAGGACAAAAAACTCAACTCAACAACTAAGTTTCCAAACTTAAAAAAAAAAAAATCACCGTCTATATGTCTGCCCTCTCAAATGGATTCTGTCTCAGCAGGGTTTGTCAAAGCTGACTGGGTTGTTACTCTGGCCTGGGCTGCTTCTCTTTTCAAGAAACTGTCCAATCTCATATTTTCAGCTAGTGTTTCTTCTCAGTTGGCTGCCTGTAATAGATTTTTTGGAAAGCACACACCATTTTAAAAGATTAAACAGCAAAGTAAATATCAAATAAATCTAATATACTGTTACTTCACAAACATGTGGATATGTCTTTCTTGTCAGTGATTTTCAAGAACATTTTTAGATATAACCATCTGCTGCTCACATTTACCACTGCTATGTGAAATTATATAGGCAAAATCCAGTCATTTCAGTAGGAATCCAAGCAATTGGGAATTTCACTTAAGGGTGACATACTTTGAAAGCGATCACAATACACAATGAAATAAAAACAAACTAAACAAAAATAAGAAATATTGTCTTGCTAACTGACTGAAATAAGCTGAAGCACTAAAATTACTAACTTGAAATAAATAAAGACTAAAACTGAACTAAAACTGAAAAAAATAGTAGTATTAAAAAAACTTTTAATTCTTAAAAGTAATGAGAAAAAATACATAACAAAATTTAATGACTAAGAATTAAACTAAAACTGTAAAAAAAAAAATTAAGTTAAAGTGGAAATAAATAATAAAAAAAACTAAAAACTAAAACCGAACTAAAAGTGAAATAAAAATATAGAAAATCTAAATAAGAGTATTAAAAAAAAAAAAAATGCAAATAAAAAATGCATAAAATTAAATTATTAAAATTAAACTAAAATTAAAGTGAAAACTGAAAATATAAAAAACATACTTATTTACAATATAAATAAAAAAAACTATAGTATAATAAAATAGTATAAAAATGATACTAAAAAATAAAAATAATACAAAAATATTTTATGAAAAACATAGTAAACTAAAACTAGAAATGTTGTCTTGGCAACTAACTGAAATAAGTTTACGTTGAAGCACTAAAATTAGTAATGTCTTAAAAAAAACAAAATACTAGTATTTAAAAATCTAAAATTGAATTCATACAAATTATGAGAAAAACATAACAATATTAAATAATTAAGAATTCAACTAAAATTAAAATTAAAAATACAAATAACTGGAAGTAATAAGCAAATAAGTAAAAGTGGAAATTAATTAAATATATGTAAAAACTAAAACTGAAATAAAAATATGTAAATATAAATAGAAGTATTTAAGAATAAATTAATTAATACAAATAAAAAAACATAACAAAATTAAATGATTAAAAATTCAGCTAGAATTAAAATGAAAACTGAAAATATAAAAATAAATACTTATTTACAATATAAATAAAAACGATATTGTAATAATACAATAGTATATAAATAATACTTAAAAAAAAAAAAATATATATATAAATATTAGATGAAAAACAAAGTAAACTAAAATTAGAAATATTGTTGTAAGTTTAAGTTGAAGTACTAAAATGACTAATAATAGTATAATAATAATAGTAAATACAAACTGAAACTGAAAATGAAATCAATATAAATTAAACCTAAACAGTAGTATTTACGTATAAATAAATAAACAAAAAAATTTAACTAAAATTAAAACAAAACAAAAAAACTATTAAAGCTTATTCAAAATATGAATAAAAACTATAGAATAATAAAGTACATAAATAATACTAAAATGGTTTCAAATGTACAGATAATCTAAATCCAATTCATCTGTTTTTTTCCTCCAGTCTTCTTGTTTTATGACTATGACTCTATCAGTTCAGTATCCAGACATGCTGAAGGAACTAAATGCGATTCGCAGACTAAGAAGAAATGTAATTAAAGAATATACTGTAACTCTGTTACCATCATTTCCAGGCTGTGCACCTCTGCAAATGTACATGTGTTTATGTGAAACATATCAGAGAACTAAAAGTCAATGGTCTATGCATCTTCTGCATGTAGTGGCATGTTCAAATGCGTTTTGAATTCAACAGTGAGCTATAATGTATTCTGTCCTTCCTCTCAGAGCCGTGTTCAACAGTCCGAACACATATGAGCCTATACATCCTCCACAATCCCATCATGCCTCTGCTTGTAGCCTGAGGGCGCATGGGCCGGCCAGTGCACGATTGATAGGGGTTTCAAACGCGAGTCCCATTCCAAGGTCAAGCCCAACTCTATTAGAGAGCAGCTCTGATATCAGACAGCTTCAAACTACTGACCTCTTATTCAGCCTTTTTAGAAGTGGATTTCATTTCACACACCAACAAGCCAGACGTGGACGAAGTGATATGCATGTAGTAGGTGTGAAAAACCATGAGTATTTGTCATCTTTCTTATATCAGAATCAGAATCAGAATCAGAATGAGCTTTATTGCCAGGTATGTTTACACATACAAGGAATTTGTTTTCGTGACAGAAGCTTCCACAGTGTAACAGAATGACAGTGACAGAACAAAAACACAGATAATAAAAAATAAAAATAAATAAAAAATAGAACAAGTAAAATAAGGAATAAAAAATATACAAATCGACAATTGTATGTACAGGTATATAACAATAGACAATAGACATCAACTATATAATGAAGACAAATGTATTTTTTAAATGCCACATTGGGGCAAGTTGTCACAGGTTGTGTGCATATTTATGTATTTAAATGTTGTGCTAAATATAAGGGAAAAATATTGTTTTAATATTTTTAATAAAAAATAATTATTGTATCAAAACCACGTTTGTGTGGTATCATCCTAATAGACACCCTGTAGGAGAAATACTTCAGAAAAACAACATCAATAACATTATTTATTTTTATGTTAATTATTAATATTCAGAATTGGATCTATTCGATAACATTACTTAATACAAATGTACAGTCTTTATATTAATCTAATATATAAAGAATAATCATGTAAAATAATAGGCTAATACTTGATTCATGACTCATTTATATTTCAATAATTAATCATTATTATAATTTGTTCATATGAATGAATAATAATTATTACTACTATTATAAAAAAAATGAAATTTTGATCTATTTGAAAACATGATTTAATACAAATTTACAGACTATATATTTATACAATAAAAATAATAATATATAAATAATAATACATTAATTGAACATTTTAATCAAAGTAATTTAGATTTAGATTGCATAAATCATTATTATTACATATTAATAAAACATTATTACAATTATTCAAATAATTAACAATGAATAATAATAATAATCTATCTATCTATCTATCTATCTATCTATCTATCTATCTAATTATAAATAAAAAATTAATAATAATTTCAAATAGAAAAAATTATAAAACTGAACTAATCTATAAAACGGCAGCATTTGGATCTATTCATTAGATAACATTATTTAATACAATTTATAGTCTTTATATTAATGTAATATACAAATAATAATAATAATAATATAAAATAATAATGATTCATGATTTATATTTATATTTTGATAATTAATAATTATTAGAATTTATTCATATATGTATATATATATATATATATATATATATATAATTTAATATAT